TAATATGTACACATTTTGTGTAAATTTTTTTGGGTTCCGTACCAAAACTTTTAATTTTGAAGTTTATTTATATGGTTCAAACAAATTTCCTCTACATTTTCGACAGTATGGAATAACCGATTTGTATGATTAAAAAATCATTCTGTTCGTACGCGATCGCGAAGCGTTTTTGCAAAAGGCAATTTTGCCATTTCTAAGGTATGGAGCGCAAAGGGTGTAAAAGCTGTAGAGCAGTTTTTGAGAGAACAGATTATCCGATTAGATTAATTCAAAAAACATTTTTCTTGAGTAGATGGTGTGCAAAAAATGCATTTACAGAAAATTACCATGGTGCATTAGTGAGTATCCCTAAAATTTTATTTTGGCATATTTGTATAATATTGACATTCAATTTGTACGCGCAACCCTACAGTTCTATACCATAGGTTCAAATTGGAATAATTATGCTTTTGTAAATGAGCTCTTTGTTCTCGAGAGATAGGTCTGATTTTTCCCTTATAAGCCAATACAACTCCTTGAGTTTTATTTGAATTTATTTTTTCTTATATTTAATGTGAGTTTTCCAATTTAGTTTCGAGTCATCATGCAAGGAAGGAATTATTTTGTTATTTAAATGAAGAGTCGGATTGTTATGTAGTTTTAAGGACCTGTAAATTAGCTAATAAAATATCTTTATGTTGTGATAATAAAGCTATGCTAACTTATCAGCTAACTAATCAGTAGACATATCATGCGTGTATAGGAGATATAATAATGGGTTTCGCATACTGCCCTGTGGTACACCGCATGCTATATTTCTGATGACGGAAGTCTCTCCTTTTATTTTTACACGAAATTTTCGATTATAAGGAAATGATTTTAGAATTTTGAAGTAAGAATGGAATGTTAAATAGATTTTGTATAAAAGTCTGGAATCCTGTTGCACTATTGTGTAGTGGAATGTTCCTTTGCAAAGCCAAAGTGATGGTTAGGTAGCCAGTTAGTATGAGGATAATCTTCGAGCAATCTGCGGTGTAGAAATTTTTCTATTAGTTTAGAAATAATTGGCAAAAGACTGATTGGTCGATATGAAGAAGTGAAGTGAGGGCCTTTGTTTGATTTCGCTATAATAACAATTTCGGCTGTCTTTCAAGCAATAGGCCAATAATTAAATTGTAATATAGAATTATAGATATCAGTTAAGAAAAAAACTGTTTTCATGGGCAGATCTTTTAGCATTTTTAGCGTTATTTTATCTAATCCGGGAGCAGACTTATTTTTTTAATTCTTATTTGCTTCAGAAACGTCATTGGGCAAAAAGTGTCTTATTGAGGATGATTGGATATTTGACTGTAGTAATTGTTCTATTTCTAAATTTGGAGTTATGTTTTGAGCACTGAAAGTAATTCGCATGTGATCAGCAAATGCTTTCTCTTTTGTACTCTTCGACCATTTGGAGTTGTTTTGGTATTGTATTTTTGAAGAATAATTTATTTGATGTGGTTTGCCCTTTCGGGTAATAGATAACCAAATCGAGTTGTCGAATCTATTAAGTTCCATCAGATAGGATTTGAATGATTTCATTTCTTTATTTTTTTTTCTCAAGATATTATTGAGATGATTGAGAGAAGTCTAAGAATCTAAAGGCCCATGCGACTGCTGCCAAGTGTCTCGCTATTATTAAGTTTTCCATCTCAATAGGAATTGTTATTTTTTGCTTTGTTGCCTTTGAAATCGGAGTAAATATTAACTGCCCCTAGAAAAAAAAGATGTATATGATGTATACTCTGAAGACGAAATTTTGCATTTCGGTGAACAGTACACTGCAGATACACGGAGATCGTAAAGATAGGCTACAAACGCAATTTGCGTTGATTGAATAAATTCTTTTTCAAGATTTGAAGGAACCACTATGAAGTTTAAGTTATTTTTCATTGCCACCTCGAACTTCCAGTTGGGTGATTAGCATTATAAGTTGTGTATTCGTGAACTTTGAAAAATGTTTTATCTGTAAAGTGTGGTTCAGAAATTAAAATAATATGTACATGGTTCAATTTTAGAAAACATTCCAATTCGTTTTTATGTGGTATTAAGCCCTTGGCATTCCATTGTGCTATTTTAACTACCTTTTTAAAAGAATTTTTTGTTATGTTTGTGTAAGATAAGTCGGGGTTTCTTGTTCTGATTGTTGGAGGAAATGTATGGGGTTTGTCTTATTTGTTTGTGTTATGGAGTGTTATTTTGAATCTCATATTATCGATTGATTTACTATTGTTGAAATTATTTATTTGGTCATTTATTTCTTTGTAATAGTCGCAACCACGGTGATTAGCAGTGTAGACCCCTCCGCAGAGACAGCAGCACGCTGGGGTATTGGGATCTTTGGTGCAGATTTTTGTATTGTGGTTATCTTCTCACTTTAGACAGGCATATGGTAAGGCAATGTCTTTGAGTATGATTGTACAATTGGCAGCACGTGCACTGTATGATATTATAATTTTTGTTCGGAGGCTCAATTCGTATTATGTTGTTTGATATTTTATAAATGTCATAGATTTTTTGTTGTTGTTTGCTGGCTCGAGGTCGACGAAAAACATATTCAAAGGTTGTTTTGATATTCTATGCCTAATGTTTGTTACGTTCCTAAATGTGCGACCTTGATTTGCTAATTCCGATTTGATATTGTCGATGTCTGTGGTAAAGTGTAGGTTTCTTATTACTATTTTGTAGGCTTTTTCTTCTTTCAATTGATTGAAATTTCGAAATTGCAGAAATTATTGAAGTTATTATTTGTCAGACTTCTTAGAAAATATTGTTCGCGTGGATCTTGTTGATAGCGTCTGTTATGTCGTTTATTTTATCGACGCTATAGATGAAAATCAGTGGAGGTTTACTTACAATCGGTTGTACGGGACTGTTATTGTCCATATTGATAGAGTATAAAGCCGTTAAGATTGCCAAGAAACGCCGCTTGTGTTTGATTCTGCTGCATTGTATTGATGTATATAATTATTACTAGATGTACTTGCAGTTTGTAATGCGCTGCTGATTGGAATTGGGCTACTTGCAGTATTATTAAGTGTTACATTTTCTTCTGACGCCATATTATTTTTAATGATTGCACTATTAAACCTTTTGATCTCTCGGTCCTCACCGACGGTGGACATTTCACTAATACTTATACCTGATAAAAAGTTTTCTTTACTCTTTTACATAAAATTATTTCAGATGAAAATTGATATAATTTACTTGCAAAAAATAATAATTCAATTTTTGAGAGAACGGCGCGGAGTTTGAATGATTCAAAATACATTTCATTTGTACTGACGAAATGAAGAAATGATGCAAGTTTTTGAAGGCAGGTCTAGGGGTTTCGGAGATCCAATAGAAAAAGTAAAAAAATGCCACTTGGCAGACAAAAATGATCATTAGACATGTGCACATCAAATTATTTAAATATATTATAGAGATTTTAATAACAAGAACAGCCAACGTATCACGATTGCTTTAAAAAAACTTTCGAAATTATTTTAAAGTATAAAAAATTCCAAAGATCCAAAAATGTCAATTCTCTTCAGAAATGTTAAAATTCTCAAAAATCTATTTGTTTCAAAGTTCTAAAAAAATTGAATCTTTTATTTTTGTTTCATTATTATTTTAAAAATTGTAATTTTATGAATGAATATTGCTATTTTATGAGTTTCAATAAATAAATACTGAATGTTCATTAACATTTGTAAATATATTGTTAATGAGAGCTTAAAGAAAACTTTAGGTACATAACAAAAGTTAGGTGAAACTTACCGTTTAATGTAAAATTAAAAGACAGGAATAACTCTTACAAATACAAATCTAAAAAAAATTGGCTATAAACTAAACCACATATCTGTTTAACGTTAGTTGAATAAAGAAAACAAGAAGAAAAATCTTAGGATGGATAATCCTTATAGTCTAAGAGCCAGTGAACTATTTGACTAACCTGTTTTCTCAGAAATTTTTTTAATGATGTTTTATTATCGGTACATTAAGAAAGTGCAAGCATCTCGCAATTACCTCATCATCCCTCTAGTTTTTAAAAATGTAAAAAATAAATTTAATTCGCTTTCACAAAGCTCAAATTTTGAGGATGTATTCTTTTAATTGTTCAGAAAGCATATGTAAAAAGCTAGCCCATTCTGACGGTTGCAAGGGTCTGTCAGACGAGTACATAATAGTCACGACGCGCAAGGGTGTGGGCGCATTGCCATACATAATTGACTAATATATAATACATATTTGAATAATTTATACGCCATTTTAAGGTCTTTTTAAAAACATATGATATACCAAACTTCATCTTTGTCTCTCAGCTTATGGCCGAGATATCATCGAAAATATGCAAATGGGGCCCCTTTTCAAACTCAATTTTTGGTGTAACTGTAAAAGATATCAAAAAAAAAATTACGTGATTCAACTCATATTGGCTTAGACGACATAATGTATAGTAAAATATGCTAAATTATCCTTTATTATTAGCTAAAAAGGATAAAACAATTATTCAATTAATGTTTTCGGATAGTGCGTTTTGTTTAATTTCTTTCTTATTCGCGTTATTCGAAAGCCTATTGTTTTTTCTTTTAGTAGTGCGAATATTGTTTAAATCAAATTTGTGAAACACATTTAAAAATTGAAATTTAAAAATTTAAGAAAACAGGTTAGTCAAATAGTTCACTGGCTCTTAGACTGTTACTACTTGGGAGTATGAAAAATAGATTCTGACCGATTTACAGTCATACTAAACGTGAAATTTCATAATAATCGGTCAAGCCGTTTCGGAGGAGTATTACCACTGACAACATGGCACGAAAATTATATATATATATATATATATATATATATATATATATATATATCAACGTATTTGTGTGGTAATTGTCAGAAATAATACATATCTTAATTAAAAACTAATCACTTGACGGTAGATAAGAGTTTATCTATATATATTTGCAACTGCAATCATTCATTTGTATTTACAAAAAAGACAATGATCAAGTCAGTTATAATTGTGGTGAGTGTAATAAAATATTCTAAATTAGTGATAAATTTAATATCAAAATGACAATCAATAATCAATCAATCAATTCAATACTTTTTAATATGTATTAAATAATAGTAATAAAGCTGTGTACAGGAAATGAACAAAATATCAAAATTTCAAAGTCTCTATTTTTTATGATTATTTTTGTTCTTTATAATAAAAACATAAAATAAACATGTTAAAAATTATTCAATATAAAGTGCAAATTATAAATTTTCTAAAAAAATGTGTCTATAATTTTAGCTATTCTACGAATTATTATATATCTAGTGCTATATTTTTATAAATTTATAGATATATTTAGAAGTTTATTTAAATTATTTTTATATATTCATAGGCCAACTTTTGGCTATTCGTAGCCTTGCAATCGATTGATAATCGGCAGACTAACAACTGCTCTGAGATTGGTGTTGATGGTTTTTTTTGTCTCAACTGCAGCGTCACAGCTTTTTGTGGTAGAGGACCTACGGGTGAATTCAACACCGTGTCTACAAGTCCATGTAGTTCTGGTGAAGTTTGCAGTACCTGGGCGGGTAGATGTTCTGCAGATCCAAGCCCATGTTTCTCGGAAGGTTCTATAACTTGCACCGGTCCAGGAGTTTTTCCTGATCCGTATGATTGTCAGCGTTATCATGAATGTAAAACTGCAAATGAATCATCTAAGCCTGTCGAGTGTGGGGGTTACAAGGCTTATAATGTTATAGAAAATAATTGTAGCCTGAACATGAATCATCAATCGTGTAAACGCTTACAATTTCATTGTGATACTATAGGAGATGAAAATGCTTGGCCGAGCAATAGAAATATATATTATAGGTGCACCGAAAAAACCTTGTGGTTCAATAGCAACAAAATATTATATCCTTTATTATATCGGTGTGATGAGAATGAGATATATGATGCAGTGCAGAGAGTTTGCGTAAGAGATGGTAAGCCTTTTAATAATTTACATATATAGTATATTTATAATGCAGACCAATCGTCGAATTAAAAAAAGATTAAATCACAAAATTATTTATCAAACTTCAGTGAGTCATCATTCAGTAATCAAACCAGGAAAATCATCAGCCATCAAAAATATTTTGCTGCTTTACTGTGGTTTTTATTAATCAATACTATTGATCAAAATTTTCTTAAAATTAAAAAAACAAAATATTAAAGTTTAGAATAAAATTATAAAATTTATCATAAGTAATCAAGTGATGATTTTACTTATAAAATGTATTCGATTCAAGTTGGCTGTGAAGGTTTTCTATTAGTATCTTTATTTTTCAATTGCTAACCAGCGATATTTAAATCATATATATATATATATATATATATATATATATATATAATTATAATTATAATAATTATAATATATAATATTTTAAGCAAATTTACTATTAACTAATTAAAACACCACTTATATTACTTTCAACATACACATATTTAATAAACACCATTATGCAAGCATACAATTAACTGCATACTATTATTCTAAAATTAAATATCACAATATATTAAAAATATATACATTATAAATAATTTATTACATTACATACATTATTCTAATTTCAATTATTTACACGTTTCAACATCTAACATTTCATATAGCTGGATCATATATTCCCATTTGATTATTATTACTCAATAATAAATGCTTTTTTAAATCTAGTTCGAAACTAATTGATTTTTTTTTAAAAAAAAACTTTATTACTAATTATTTTTTTTTTCTTTTTTTTATCTTACATACTACATATATTTTACTTTTTCTTTACATATTTTTACTGTTTATTACATTTTTCTTTACGAATATTTCTTCCGAAGGCAGGTCCGTGGGTTGAGTTGAAAATGCACTCAAATCCTGGTTGCACGATGTCATAGCTCTTACATTTTCCTGTTGTATGGGGATACAACTCGACTTCCTTTGTATTTCAAAGCGATACAATCTTAGTATCTTTTTACTTCCGAGTGGCATGTTGCCACTACAGCTATGCCCACGAAAGGCCATTTTCACTTGAAATCATATTTGAAATCTATGATTTCAAGTGAAAATTTGGTATCAAGCTGCTTTGATACCGAACCGACCGAGGTTAGATTCGAACCCGAGACTACGATTTGCTAGCCCACGTTCTTACCACGGGACCACGGCCGGCCCATATTGATGTACTGCCCATATACTTGCATGGGTTGTGAGAAATACATTTTTTTTTTCAATTTTCAGAAACCACCACGACGCCTGCCACAACGCCAACCGAATCTTCCACGTCTAGTGAAACAACCACGACGTCTGCCACAACATCAACCGAATCTTCCACGTCTAGTGAAACAACCACGACGTCTGCCACAACACCAACCGAATCTTCCACGTCTAGTGAAACAACCACGACGTCTGCCACAACACCAACCGAATCTTCCACGTCTAGTGAAACAACCACGACGTCTGCCACAACACCAACCGAATCTTCCACGTCTAGTGAAACAACCACGACGTCTGCCACAACACCAACCGAATCTTCCACGTCTGGTGAAACAACCACGACGTCTGCCACAACACCAACCGAACCTTCCACAAAGCCTACTTCTACGGAAACTCCCGCAACAAAACCACCGCAAGAAATACCATGCAAACAACAAGGTCCGCTGATGCAAGATCCACACGATTGTCACGCATATTACACATGTCTAGAAATTGGATCATTACCGAAACATTTTAATTGTAATAAAGGTGCTTATTTCAATACAGTCAAATTAAAATGCGTGAAAGGAAATTGCGAAAATAGCACAGAAATTCCTCTTCCTGAGCTTCCAGACATTTGCGATGAAGTAGGACCTTTGGTGCAAGATCCAAACGATTGCCGCAAGTATTATTCATGCGTCACGATTGGAAAAGAACCTGAACATTTTACGTGCAATAAAGGGGCGTATTTTGATCGAGAAAGATTACGGTGTGTCAGAGGATCTTGTTAACAAATATTGTTATATAACAAAGTTCAATCTTTAATTATTATTTAGAAGAATTTGAAAATGTATATTTAATGTTTTTTAATAAAATAGTTTATTGGCAATTTACTATAACGCTATCATTCAAATACACAACAGGTGTAAAAACAATAATTTACTTTCGAGCAGCATAAGTGACAGTATCAGTAACATTAAAGTAATATATTGAGTAATAACATTTTAATAATAATTATATAATAATATATACAGGGTAGAGCCGGACTTGAAGATTCGCGGGTAAAATGGCCCATCACCATTATTTCTATAAAAAGTATGCTATTTTTTAACGCTACTATATAAAAGCAGAGGTCAAAATATGTGTTGACATAAATCGTGCGACCTCGAACGTCATTTTTTAACGAAAGTTTTTTTTGTTGATATTTTTTAAACGGTTTAAACAGTTTCATTTAATTTACGATAGTTGAGTATAATTTTGTCTATATATACAACATATGTTTGTACGCACTTTGCCTAATTTAATACGTACTTATAAACTTACAGTATTTATAATAATAAACTATATGAACATAATTAAAATCAATTGTTATTAATTGATGATCAATTTTATTGATTATTGATTATTTTTATTTCTTGAATGTTCAATTATGGTACAGGAAGTTTCAGCAATTTGTCGGTTGTCACTAGTTTCTAACTACGAGTTCTACTTACGATTGTATCATGCTATATGCAAAACTGGTTCATGATTCGTAATATTTTGCTAAAAATAGTGTAACTCGGACAATGTTCATATATGTCCTGTTAAAGTTGTAAATATTAAATTAGGAATACAAATATAAATTTTATTCATGAATGTAATATTGTTAAAAATTATTATAAACTGTGATATATATTATCTACTACTATATATAGTTCACAATATTAGTGAACTATATATAGTACAACGAGTAGGTCAATTTCTATGATTCTCATGTGGATTTCAACTTTCGAATAGCAACTACATATGACCTCGTAATGAAAGCAATATTATTATTATAGTGTTGTGGATAATTAATGGTAGCTATAAACTTTATGTATCACAATCCATAAGGCATAAACTGTAAAATAGCATATTGTTCCATAAAACAGATTTATTAATCTTTACCCATAATTCAGAGCAAATATCTAGTAATTTAATCGATAATTATTCTACCTGTGTTACTAACGTTTGGTTTATCAAGATTGTCTTCAATGATATAATATAATTTGCATTATAAATCTGACACATTTTGTCGAAAACGCCTTTACCGAGAATTGAGATAATAGTAAAAGCAGATTCAGCCGTTTTTATAATGCAGTAAAAACTAGTGGGGTGCACGGCATCGTGCCTTGAGGCAAGTTACTGGAACTTTTCGTACCGTAATTAAATTTCGAGGAATGAAAATAATTAATAATTCTTTTGAATATTTTCAAATAGATTATTTATTATAAATACATATTGTAAATTTATAAGTGCTTACTAAATTGGGCGAGGAGCGTATTTTATAAACAACTTATGTGTATGTTTACAAGAAATTTGTTCATTATTTTTAAATTTGATTTTTTTGATAATTTAGAAATTTTTTTAGAAGTTTAAATTTTTTTGCAATTCTATTCAAGATGTGTGACATTTTCTTTTTTATTCGTTTGATGATAAATTTTATTGCTACTAGGTAATTGAAGTTGTTGACATTGTAATTTAATCGTGTATTATATTTCATTATATTTACGCAATCTTGATTATATTTTCATAAGTTTATGTTTAGTATAAAATCTTACAATATCTGAATCATTAACAATTAGTAAAAAAATAAGTTTCTCTGTTTGTAGAATGTGAGTGAACATATTATAAATACCATGAAAATAATTAACTTTACATTTCTATCTTGATAAAACTTTCACCTACGGGTAAATAATTTCAATAATATAAGATATATTTAGTATGGTTCTTTTTCTAATTTTTGAGAAAATATTTACTTTTATTAATAATAAAGCACAATTTATGGTCTTCCGAGTAATTTGCATCGTGACAAAATAAATCAAATTCATTCAAATTTCATTAATATCAAAACAATCATTAATATCAAGTATCTGCATAAACATATGACATTGATTGTAACTACAAATTTTCAATGGAAAATTATACGGAAAAACAACTTCTAGTAACTAAGTTTTTCAATAAAACTCTAATTGATGATGATAATACTAGTTTAAAACATCACTTTTATTAATTTAATAACACAATTGATTATATTATAAATTGTGAAGTTTAAACACACAGATTGTACTATGAACGTTTTCCACGATCATCTTGCACCTCATCCGAGCTATCTTCGGAATTTTCAGTCGATGCATCATGTAAGTTCCAAAAAGTGGTTTTGTTTTTACGTTCAAGTTCTCTCCTTAAAACTGAAATGCTGCTCTGATCCTCCTGTAAACTTCGACTCGAAGTACTTTCAGTTCTAGAGAAATGACCCCGTTTTCGTCCAGCTTGATCTCGGATGTAAAAGGGATTTCGCAGAGTTTTTTTGCTAGTTGCTTTAGCAGAAAATCGGTTATCATCGTAAGGTTCTTCAATCGGTGCACTTGATCTCGTTCGGCAAATATTAATATTCTCATCTTGCTGATCTCCTCGGTCCTTACTACTCGTCTCTGAATGATTTAAATGACGCATTTGGATTTGCTTAAAAGCGGGATCAGTTCTTAATCTTGTTCTGCAATTATGTTCATCCATCCTGTTTAGCCCTAAAGACGCATCATCCCCAGATTGAGATCTCGAGCTTCCTGAATCTTGATCTGCTTGCGTGTATTTCTCTGTATCAAAGAGACCAACCAATTATTCGGTTTATTAACTCTATTTATGCAACACTTACCTAACAATTTCTGTAGTAATTCTTTATGCAAGTCCTCATCAATAATATCAAAATTGAGCGGTAACTTTTCAATTTCTTGTCTTAATTCGAAAGCCACTCTTTCAATATAATGAATGTCGTGTGTTTCTAGTAAAAATTCCATCAAATTTTGGATATGTTCGAGCGTAATCGTGATCAGGTATTCGGTTAAGACGCTTCGGTCAGGATGATTTTCACTAGCTTCAGAAGGAGATCCTACTCTCTCATCACTTGGTTCGGGAAGATTACTACTCGCACTGCTGGTGGAAGGCATAGCTTCAGTCATGTCTTTCGATGGTTGCCTTCGGGTATTACGATTCAATTCCTTGACACCGTCGACCGCATTCGAGATCCGTTTATCGTTTCTGTTATACATTTTTAAAATTTCGATTTTATTTACAAATAAATAAAATCTTTCAAATTTCACGTCAGACGGATTACTTAAAGCATTTGTTTTTTTCGCATATGCTTACATGCCTATTTTGATTGAGAAATAATTCTGACTACGTATTCATCTAATTTTTATACATTAATTATTAAAATTAATAATTCTTACATAACCCTATGAAGCCTAGATAATATTAGAATATTTATTAGAATTTTATGTTCAGAAAGGATAGTTAAAGAATATACTACAGACGCGAGGGCGCTGCTAAATTAAAATTTGAAGTTTGTATTATGTTTTGTAATAGTACAAAAGTAACAAAAATATGCAATTAAATAATAAATATATTATAATAAATATACAATCAAATCAAAATATAAATCAACAAACACACAAACGCCGGTTTAAATATACATCACATCTAATCTACTGGAGTAATTTAAAGTCAGATTTTAAGCATTTGTTTTTTTCACATATGCTTACATGCCTACTTCGATTGAGGTATGATTTTGACTATGTATTCATCTAATTTTTATACACAAATTATTAAAATTAATAATTCTTACAAAACCCAATGAAACCTAGGCAATATTTGAATATGATATATTTATATACACGTTTCTCTCTCCCGAATTTTACGTTCAGAAGGGATAGTGAAACAAATCATCGTCATAACTGAGTTAAATCATCCAAACTAATTTATGGTAATTAATTACTGATGTTCAACTTACAGTAAAATAACAAACAAAGTGTTCTATATGTATACAAGAAACAATTATTATTAAAAGAAATTGAACAAGGAAACATTTTTTAACTCTTTAAAAACAATGCAATCTACAATTCTTGTTAATGTAGGGCGCAGACTGAATGCAAAAATGGAAACATGTTTAAAATAAAAAAACATGCTACATGTTGCTCCCTTCCACCCTACATCAAAATCAGTATATAGTATATAGCTATAGCTATTATGGCGACTTTCACCACAGTATTATAGCAAAACCGTACCCAGTCTTCCCTATTATACAAAAACTGTAATAAATTCATATTGTAAATGTAAAAGTACAAATTTAAATTCTTAGTGTAATGTGATGCACATGATATTATTATAAAATACTAGCTAATCCGGCAAACGTTGTTTCGCTAAGTAAGGTATTTCTAAACAATTTGAAGAGAGTCAGAAAAAATAATACTTTTAGTGTATAAGGACGTGTTGTTTAAATGCTATATACAATGAGTTTTTATAAACCCCCAGAATAAACTGGAAATTTTATACACTTTCTATAGAAAACATGATATCCAATCCAAGTCGTTTTTGTCTTTCGACTTATTTCATTACGTTTCATGTTTTTCAGATTCTTTTTGATTCTGGATTTTGTGTATAATTGTAAATAATACTACTGAGCTTATACAAAAATTTTCAAATTTCCGCGAGGAGAGATAGAAAATGATTTAAGTATTTTTTCTTGACCTGCTTTTTGAAAAGTTTCAAGTAACATTCGATGAATTAAAGTAAATTTAATAAAAAGTGTATATGTAGGTAGAGCAGGGCGAGGCACAAAGGTCCAATTTGACTTGGAGCAAATATAAACTATATTTATGAAAACCAAACCAATTATATCACAACAAATAACACATTTCAAACGAACAATTATCGGACTACGTTCAGTAAAACTGCGAGCTACTTCATCATCGTAAAAATGTGCTTTTTTTCCGTCTTTCAAAAATTTGTGATTTAGACCTTTTCACCCTATAGGCGAGATAACTTGGAACGGCCAGGTGGCAAACGGGTTTAATGTCTTATTTTAATTTTAAAGGT